CCGTATATTTAGTTGGGAAAGAGCGAACAAATTTGTGTATATTTTCCAGCTGCCTACCGAAATATATAAACTAGACTATCCATGTCAAAAGGTATTGCAAGGAAAACTGAAGTAATTAAGATTTTCTGTTTCACCAATTCTTTGAAAGATTGTCATAAATTAACCCTTGAGTCGTACTATGTGGTTGAAGTGCTACCATTATTTTTTTTGGCATGAAGTATTTTACCTGGGTCTTTATTTTACCGTGAAGGTGCCAAGTATACTTCTGCTTCTGTAACAAAAACTTGGATGAAACTTTAAGACACACACTTCGGAAATTTGACCAATATTTAGACAGTTTATGTATTAAATGATTCTTTAATTTGAAAATCGTTGATAACGTATTTTTTCCCTTTCTCATTATGTTTCACTTTTGTAATTTGTGTGCTCTCTCTCTTTCTCCCTCTTTCCTTTTCTCTCCCTCTCTTTCTCTTTCTCTTTTTCACGCATGCACTCACACTTACACACACACCCACACACACTCTCTCTTTCTTTCTCTCCTCCTTGTTATGTTGTCTTTGTCTCTTTCCTTGTTCTCAGTTTCTCTCTGTCTTCCCCCCTCCCCTCTCCTCCCCTCTCCTCCCCTCTCTCTCTCTCTCTTTATTCCATTCTCTCCCTCACTCCCCTCTCTGTCTCCCACATTAAACATAACCTTTCCATCTTTCTTCAATCTGTACGTCAACAGTGATTATCGTGTTGTACATTTTGTAATTTCAAGTGATACGATCATCTATATACAATATTGTGATTTCCTATGACACAACTGAGATCAGAGAACAAAGCTTCGTAATAAAATATCAACTTACAAATGAAAAAGACGGGTGTATTATTTCTTCTTTTGTCGTGTTTTTCTTTCCATTTCAGGTAAATTTTGGGCGCTTTGTTCACCATTTTTCACTATTCTGTATGTACAGTCATTGGACAACTGAGGAAAATAGTTTTTTTCATCAACCTTCAACAATGTTACCGAGTCACTTTAACCCCACGTCCTCTTTGTATATCATCAAAATCATTTTTTATACAAAGATGACGTGGTGATGCCTTGGCACAGGAACCGGAAAACGCTATATGTACGGCTTTACCGGAAGATGGTGCAAGCGCAATTGAATACACTATATTACGTAAACAAATTGATACAGAATGCTTATATATACTGATTCATAAAATCACGTTTTATTTGGTTCAATAATTACCCACGTGTCGGCAAGTTCAGGTCATATTGAACCCAGTGCACGGCAATAAATACAATTTTTTTCTTCAACAGAGCACACTTAAAGAATATAATAAACAAAGATAACATAAAAAAATTATAACGAAGATTTATGTACGTTTTGATGGTTGATTTATTTTCGGATCATTATGGTTGGAATGATTTGAAATATTGATATGCTTTTAATTGTCTTACCTGAATTAATTTACAGTTAAAGTTAATTAACATGGAAATATTGAAGGGGTATTGTATCATTAAAATGACGTGAGTTGTGTCAAGCTATTTCTTTGTGTTTTCTTTACCCTCGTTTTCCAAATTAAATGTAGGGTTTAATACAATTGTTTCCTATGAAGATTACACAGTGAAATACAGCAAAAATATACTTTCAAATAGAAAATTCACACAGCAGTATACGAATCAAAATTTTATATAAAAAAAATACATTTCGAAAAGGAAAAAATGTCAATAACTTAGAAGCAAACATAAGATGAACTTTAGATAATAGTATGAATGAACAGGCCTACTTGAATAAAAAAAAAATACATTCGAACCTTAATGACCACCCCTTTCTAAAGGCCACTTGTCTTAGATGCCACGTATTTTAAAAAGGATTTCAAAAAAAAAAATATTTTGTCCCCCTCGACAGAGAAATGTGTTTTAAAGAACCCATATACAATGGCCGCTTTCTCTGTATTTCTTGATTGGCCTTAATAGACAGGTTTGCCTGTATGAAAAATTAAGTACTGATGCACTTTAAATCCGTTATTATAGACATAATATAATGACCAAGGTTTATATTCACGGATAAAGAAGATGGTAGGCCTATATACATCACTTGTTATCTGTTCAAGTCATGAATAGTTCATGAGTTTAGGGTGGTAGAAATATAATCGCTACCCAAGAGTGTCAAGAGCACTTGTACATGTCAAATTGCGCCGGGGGGAGAGGGAATAAACAAATGACAGACTTTGCTCTCATTTGCCCATCCCTCTCAAAAACACCCAGTTTATGCCCAATTCTAATGAGTGGTTCGGGGGTCTTTAAATGAAATAACAATTGTGATAGCGTCTTGGTAGGTTTTCGAAAGTTGTGGGATGGCATGGTGCTTTCTTTATGTTTTCGAAAGTATTGGGGTCACATGGGAAGAAAAATTATCTAATAATTGCGACTACCAGTTATCAGACATGTCTTTACATAATATTTAAAATCCTTAAGACTAATTGAGTTAATAATACATATTATATATTAAAAAAAATAACAAAACATCCTCTGCACACTTAATAATATCGTCATGATAATATTGCAAAAACACATGTACACTGCCCAGCACACACAACCCAATAAGACAACAAAAAAAGGCTAAATGAACGCCTACAAAATATAAAACTACCACAGCAAACAGAACAATAATGATTTATACATTTAGATGTTGAGCTTGATATCAAGGTTGAAACTATTATTATGCAGCATTCTAACATAACTGTAAAACTAAGAAATGGGTTTACATTAAAAAGAAATTATATAACAGATTAAGTATCATTCGATCTGGTACCGCAATCTTTTGCGACGAAAACTCGCATCAACCCCCCAAAAAATAACCAGTGACAAATAAATAGTAAATCATTGAAGATGTTCATCTCATCTGATTTCATCTAATGTTATGACAACATTTCTTTTTTTGCAGAATTTTTAAAAACGAATCTGTTCTTGTAGGCTTCGTCCCTGACAAATACGCTTGCAACCCAGCCAGTGACAGCTTGCCAAAAACGGGTAATTTTCACTAGTTGTGAAAAAACACACACGATTTTTCATCATTAAATTCTACATCATCTGGTAGTGAAGACTGAAGAGAACCTATAGATGGCATTTATATATCAAGTTACCTAATTGAAATTCAAGTTCAATTGCATTGTTGACCTTTGGAATCGAGCCGAAAGCAAAACTATGGAGAGTAATTAACATTTTCTCAATATTGAGTTACCTTCTGAGATTATAAGTACACCTGACGGGGATTCCTCAGCTTCCGGCTCAAAGAATAAAAAAATAAGAAAAATCAAAAAAGAATTACAACAACAATATAATGTGCATCCCATACCGGGGGGGGGGGGGGGGGGAGGGAGATACTCACATATTAATACATAGTGGATGTGCCGCTCTAATGGGTCGCTTTTTCAAACATAAATCCCTTAACATGGGTCACATTTTTTACACAATGATCACTAAACATGGGTACGTTTTCCCAATATAAAAATGGGCATATATTTAGAGAACAATCTGACAATTTGTAAGGTTAGCAAATTTTGAGGCCAAAATTAACCTTCAAAAATGGGAAAGGGTTTCGAGGCTTGAGCGGCTCATCCCTGTCCAAACCAAATCCGAGTACCCCCCCCCCCCGATCCCATGCATGCGCGTACAAAGTACAATTATCTTTCACGTTAACTCTTTTACTCTAATTAACACCAAAGTTGATAGCTATTTAAGAAGAGTCGAGTTCGAATCGCACATAACATAGAAAATAAGGTAAAGTAAAAATAAACAGGCTTTTAAAAATCTGAACCACATTCTTAAACTCTGCGTCTTACAGACACTTCAAGAGATAGCACTTTTAAATGTCAAAATACGGGAGGGACTCCGTCCAAAATAATAGATGGCAGCAAAAAACAAATGACTGTAACAAAAAAAATTTGTAAAATAGAATCTTAACCCTTTGTCAAAGTGTAGACGGAAAAAAACATATGAGACGAGATATTAACAAAAATTAGTTGACGTCAATACAAAATCGATAACTATTGCTTGAAACATTAAAATATGGCTTCCCCCAACATGAACAAAGTTGATTTATTATGAATGCATACGAGACAACACCAAAATGTTGAATAAGTATATTTAATGTGAGAGAGAAACAAACATACTATATCCCTTAGCAATAACCCATCGAAAGGAGGTGTTGTTTACTAAAGTCATGTATACATTAATAACAACATAAAATACAATTCTTATCCAGTACCAATAAGGAATACAGAGTTAATTCACAACATAAAATAATGATAATGTAAATGCTCCTTTGAAGGCTCTACAATTAAACCGCGGCAATTTTGTTTTCTTCATGATGACGCAAAGTGTAATACGCTTTACAATTTTGTATAGATAATACAAAGCTCTCTGAATACGCGCAAGTAATCTGTAAAATTTTGCCATAATAAACCCCAGATAAGAAATGTACCTATAATAAGAACATAAAATGCATTTCAGTTTTGTACTTTATACAATTATATCATATATAATATTCTTACTTTAAACGTCTACTTTTGATCATTTAGCTTTAATTTGGAAGATATTTTTGGCGTAGATTAGCACACTTATCAATCACCTTTTAATAAAATTGCACTTCATATAAATCTATCAATATATATTTTATATACTTAAAATTTAAATGCTTTCTTTGGCAATATTCTAATTATTAAATACTAATGTTAGTAGCACCTAATGATTTTTTTGAAGCACAATTGATTGTCTTGGTATGCGAGCATAATACTAACTATACATACTTATGATTCGCATTCAGAATAACGATTTAACTCTCATCTCTATATGAGACAGTATGACCAGCATGCAGGTGACGCATTATTATCAATACATATTTTGATGTCGCTCATTTTTTTCTTCACGCAATGCGTCTTCCTCCAGAACAAATGTGTACAAATATTTGTATATTCAATTGAAGATGTACAAATGCCGCATTTCCCCCCCCCCTACTTTTCATATTATCCAATTGACCTTTAGAAGTTTGCAACAAATACATGTATTTTTAAAATCCTATGACTACATTTACCTAAAAATATAAATGGCTATTTGACATATGCCATTCAAGTAAGTTACGTCATCGCATTAGACTATAGGGTTTCAATTCTAATCCTACTAGGAGAAAATAATTGTATGTCATCTTTTACTTAACCCTTTATTTAATACCAAAATTGATATAAGCCTCTTCATAAACAAAATTAAAAAAACATGTTTGCGCACTATTTCAGTATCTATATCCATATCTAATATGTCTTGTTATAATGCCCGAAGTTTCTCTCCTCTCTTTTCACCAACCGGCTGGCTATTGGATAATGCATGTAGAGTGACTATACTTTACTGTTCGCGGAGCCTTTACCTATTCGGAGAGGAAACATAAAGAACAAAAAGACAGACATTAGTTTGACGAAATTGATGTCATTGTACAAATAAGAATGAAGAATTATTCAGATATGACGCGGCAAAACTCATTTAATTTTTTTTTTTTTAATGATGATGACGAAAAGCCCCCTGCCCCTCAAAAAAAAAAAAAATGTTTTAGGCTTATTTCCTTTTGCGACAAAAATTTGATGAACAATAGAGATGGGGAGGGGAAGGAGGGGAGGGAGGAAAGGAGGTGATGGTGTTCGTCACACACATCTCCACACGTGTTTCCCTCATACACACCCAATGATACGAACAGGTACACATACATTCACCCACACACCTCTCTTGAGCGACGCTCCAATTAACTATACTGCTTCCATAATTTTTGTGTTATTTTTTACCTGGCTTCTCTATGTGGTGTTCCAAGATGACGCTTTTCTCCCTCTGTGAAGGCCTTGGTTTAACCTTGATCAAGTTGTCTTTGTTGGGGGTTGATGTCAGTGGATGGGATTTCCTCTCCACAGCTTTATGGTCATCCTGGGGCAATAGAAAGACAATGGCAACTGTAAGTTCTTCGAGCTACACAGATCTGTAACTAATCTTCTAAGACAGCTTTCTCACAAACGCCTAATTAAATGTTGATTATCTCACAATATAAATAAGTTTGACTATGTAGGCCTAATCGAATAGTTTTGTTTCAATGAGAGTCAGATCGACAATGCCATAATTATAGACCACTCAAGGCGCGTTTCTTTCTCTATTAAAAAGTGCAGAAAAGAGACATCTTGATTCTTTGCCAATTCACACGATTTTTTGGGATGACATTATGACACAAGGACACAACAGCAAAGAATGTTTTTGATTCACACTATACATTACATTGTAAGACGATATTATTGATTCAAAAATACAATCTATTAAATGAATAGACTTGAATATGAAACAATGTTTTAAAGCCCCACGGTCCTACTTGTAGCTATTTGCTCCCTCTATATAGAAAACTTCCCCAATCAGTGCCTATTGGTCCCCCATCATCCTCTTTTTCTTATGTTAGTTGAGAGCTGAGTTAATGAGATAGCCACCTGTCAGTGACCTCCCTGTGTGATCTAATTCCTTCTGGCCTAGTAGTATTGACGATCTTTAAGCTTACCGTCCATGCTGACACTGTACTAGGTCCATTGAGTGGCTTTGCAGAATTGACTGGAACAACTTTTCGTTGCTTCCGGCCATTAGATCCAACCTTCCCTTCCTTGCTATCACTCTTCTGTGGTTGGTCAATCCTGGAATTAGGCTGTCCAATCAGGGCTAGAGCATGGTCAAGCTCCCGTTGTTGCTTAGCAACTAGTCTTTGAAGTGACAGATTCTCTTCTTGCACACGCGTTATGTCTCGTCCTTGATCATCATCCTGGTGTTGATGACCCATTCCGATAGTCCCATTCGTGCGATGATTCCGGGGTGTTACCGGCATCGGTTGAAGGCTGCTGCTCAAAGACGAGTTCAGGCTTCTGTAGGGGTCCGTTGGTAGAACATCCCGTACAGGATACGGAACGACACGCGCCCTCTGCGTCCGAATTGGAGAAACGCTCACCCCATACGCAGGGGCTGCACCATCAGAACGCATTTGCGACGGGAGGAACTCGTACTCGATTGGCGGTCGTCGTATCGAGTCGTAGAGGTGCTCACCACTAAGGTCCATCCCAAAGCTTGTTTCATACAAAGGAATGCTTCTAGGTGGCACGGCAAGTCTTCCTTGAATCATCCCTGGCAAGACGCTATCATCCAGTGCATCGTAACCATAGTGACCACGATGCCGAAGATACCCCGAGTCATCTAAGTCTTTACCAAACTCTCTTTCCCCCAAACTAGACTGTCCATTGCTTGTAGTTGGTGTGTCTCCTTTTGTTTGTTCGCTTGTGTTGCCTAAGCTGGATGAGCTAAGGGCAAAAGCATCGTCTAAGATGCGATTTATTCTCTTCCTCTCCTCAGCCCATTTCCTCCGAAGTCTCACCTCTCTTTCCTTCTTCTCAGCGAGTTCTTTAGCTTCCTCCTGCAGAAGATATAGAGACGAGATTAAATATTTGTTTAGGGGGTTGGCTATACTTCAAACATTACATTTGCTTCAGAGAATCGATACTTCGTATTTGGCGCTATTTAAATACATATTAAAGATTGTTATTGTTCGATTTCATTTCATAGATACGGAAATCTGAACAAACATCGTATTTCTCGTTTCAAAATTTGATAAAATAATGATATAAATACTAACAGCCTTGATTTTTACTGCTAGTTATACTGATTGCACTACTGAAGGGTGTTTCACAAAGCATTTTTCAATGACAAATGACAAATATCAGTGACAAATATGCTGATAAAAGATCAGAAGCAAGGATTTAGTTTTCACTCTTACAGGGAACCTTGAAATTCCCCGAATAATAATATTGTTTACTCCTGGACATGAATACTTACAACGTTGAGCTTTGTGATTTGACATGTTTGAGCAATCACGTCTAATGCTTTTCCAAATGTGTATAATATAGAAATAATACACAGCAGTGAGGGCATTAGTAAGAATTACCCACACGATGCACCTTTGGAACAGTCTCGCCGAGGGTGTTTGGACTGTTTTGGAGGTACCGAGTGTGGGTAATTTTACTAATGCCCGAACAAAATTATGTGTATTATTTGTTTTAGAAGATTATGTTTTATTTGTTTTAAAAAATCATGTTTTATAACATGATTTTGACAATGACCGGTCATTATCCGAATAACGCGTTTGGCAAAATAAATGCCTGGTCACGTGTACGCTTTCAACCAATCATTTTGATTAGGATCCACGTCATCATCTTATACAATCGGATAGCAGTCGGATTGTACAGTATGCGTTGGACTATCTATGTTCAACCGTATGAAGTATGCAAGGAGTACCTGAGATACAGATGTGGTCTTTGAGAGCGGTCCTTGGACGGGTTTAGGAGGACCTCTTTTAAGAAGCTCCTCGATTTCTCTCTTGATGTCTTCATGATTTTGCGCTGGTGGAGCCTATGATTTCAAGAAAAGAGGTTTCGTAAATTTTTCGTCCACTTCTAGAGTGCATTGTACTTGTTATTTTTACTTAAATTTACTTAATATATGTGCATGTTAGAGAGGAGGAATGCGAATTCTATAACAAATTTCAAAGGCCTGAGATTTGACAAACCTGATTATGTGAATGAATTATGATTTTACTTGCGACTTGAAATGAAAAGGAAACAAATTGTTGTATATGGGTGTCAAAATTAAAGCCGGGGCAGAGCTGATAATTTCTATATGAATCCGTCACATTGATGAAGATATTTTTCTTTTTAATGATTCAAGGCTCAGGTTTTCAACATATTGATTCCATCACTTACAGCAGACTCAAGAGGGCGGGTTCTGATCAGCCTAACAGCGGACTCGTTAATGACGCCTGTTGATTCAGGTATTTCACTTTTCCTTTTCTACACAGATGGAGAAAGAGATAGATGGAGAGGGGAGAAAGAGAGGGGTAGAGAGAGAGAGAGAGAGGGAGAGAGGAAGAGGAAAAAAGAGAAAGGGAGAGGGGGAGGAATATTAACATTTTCTAATTTTCACGACAGCAATCACGTCTAGGCTTGAAATTTTCCTTCAAGCGAACGTGCAGGAATTAATAATTAATAAGTACTCATAACAGACACTCTAATCTGATTACTTTCCAATAAACATAAATCAAATTTGTATGGGTTGAAGAAGTATGGATTCAGTTGTTATCAAAGAATGTATATATGCCAATGGATATCAGCAACGCGAAGTTGTAAGTGTCCAAGTGGTACAAGCTCCGTTAAAATAAGCAAAGGCTTCCCCTTAATGTGTTTACAAATCATTAGGTCTCTACATAGCTACGACGATGTGGTTTACATTTTCTTTACCTATTTTTAACCAAAGTTGATGTTAAAAAAACACAGAACAAGCCTTCATTGAAACAGGAGTAATTCTGGTGATTAAATGTTTGTTTAGAGGCAGATGGGCACAAATCCTATTGATAACTTCACATCTACTTAAGACAGTATACTAATTCAATAACAGAAGGTCTTAACTCGTCCCTTTGGCTTTTTACCATTTTGTTCCTAGATTCATTGGGTGTAGAGCTTTTTCTTTCTTAGGCTAATGTTATTACCAATGCATTTTGTGTGTAGGAGTTGGTCAAATTACTCATCGCCGTCATGCATTTCCATAATATGATATATAAAAAAAGTTCCATGCATCTTAAGTTCATACTTGTTATGCCCTGATCAATTCGAAACTATTTTCATTCTTAGTTGAATAAAAAATACAGCGAAATGTTAGATTAAATAATAGTTACTCCCGTGATCAATTGCTTGTTTAGAGACAAAAGGTAATCGAGGTCTTAGAAAATTATTAGGGACTTTAGATTCCGAACAACGAGAACGCGGACTGCCCTTTTAAGGTAATGTGACGTCACTGTCAGTGCCTTAAAAGGACGCCACATTGCCTTAAAAGGGCAGTCCACGTTCTCGTCGTGCAGAATCTAAAAGTCCCTAATGTTTCCATATCTAAGAAAGACAGAATAGGAGAAGGTCTTACCCCGTCCCGTGGCTTCCAACGGTCTGTCCTGGTTACTTGCAGCTGTCTGGATTGTACAAACAAAGTGAAGAAAAAGGAATATCAATACTTATCTAGTGCTAAAGGCCGTCTACAAATTGATAAGTGATGAATACTTACACAATATATAGGTGTTTTCCACATTTAGATTATTGATGTTTTTCTCAAGAAAATCGAAAAGCCATGAGAACCCAGGGCTGTCAAACTATATCGTATCACCTTTATAATTCCTGTTCTGATGCTGCAACATGTCACTGATTAGCCTTGTTATCCAATAAAGTCGACTTCTACTGAAAGATCCCAAAAATTCAACATGCGATGCACAGGGCTATAAAAACTACCTTACATATAACTATACTTCATGCACTGCTTATTCAAAACTGTGTGTAATGCATAATAGTGTAAAATACTTTGTGCATGTGACTATGTGCGTGTGACAAAATTCGACTTCGGAGGTCCACCGTTTGTTTCATTAGTTTTGATCAAGGCAGGCAAAAGGTTGAAGATTGAATTTAAACTTCGTTTTGAATTTGTTTGCTCACCTTGCGGTTGGATTCTTGATCCCCTGTTCATCCATACCACCAAGAACTGCATCAAACTGAAGGAAAAGATGGACGATAATGGTTTATTGCAATATTCAAGATATAAGGAATGAGAAGAGCATAAAAAAGAAAAGAAATGTGTAACACAGAGAGTGTATGAGCACAAAATTGATTGTAAGAAGGATTTTAAATTTGGGGTAAGAACTGCATTAGACTTAAGGAAAAAGATGGACAATAATGATTTATTGAAATAACTCAAGATAGGAGAATGAGAAGAGCAACAACAAAAAAGGGGAGGGGATGTATAACACTAAGAGTGTATGAGCCCGAAATTGTATAAAGGTTTATCACATTTTGAGTAAGATTTATAGCTATGTACTGGTATAAATAGAAGAGGCAAATCAAGAGAGCATTTCTCTCTAAGGGGTCACGTATTCATCACATACTTCCTTTTGCATTTGTTCGGCAGTCAACTGGTCTTGAATTTTCTTTTCTTTCTTCCTCTTCTGTCTCTTCTTCTCTCTAGCGATGTCTTTCTTCAGTTCTTCTGGATCCTTGCCAATATGTGTTGTATACCAAGACTACAAAATAAAAAGAAGAAAATAATTTGAATGCCATGCATTCTGGTATCTTGATGACATTGGATGGGCAGGCATCACTTTATTTGTCTCGTAGTAGTCCACTGTCATTATATTGCCCCCTTTGCGGTGTTCCAATTAAGAATTCAATCTTTTCCCGACTGCATTTAGCAAGACATTTTGGCTAAATTTCTTTTCTCCACCAGATGTTAAATGGAAGGATGATGATGATGACGAGGATAATGTTAATGAATGGCAGTATAATGATACTAGTGGTAGTAGTATCATCATCATCATCATCATCATCATCATCATCATCATCATCATCATCATCATCATCATCATCGTTATCATCATCTTGATGAAAGAGGAATAGCATTATTCCAAACTTGGGCGTTCCCGCTTTTCTTATCATTTTCAGCTGTAGGCGACCAGGGAGCGGGGTTTCAGACGCGGAAGATGAAAATGAAAGAGAATGAGAAGAAATAAGAGGAAAGAAGAAGAAGAAGCAGAAGAAGGAGGAGGAGGAAAGGAAGAAGAGGAGGAAAGGAAGAAGAAGAAGAAGAAGAAGAAGAAGGAGGAGGAGTAGGAGGAGGAGAAAAAGAAAAAAGAAAGAGGAGGCGGAGGAGGAGGAATAGTAGAAGAACAAGAAGAAGAATCAGAAAAATGATAAAAAGAAGAATGAGAAGAATCAAAAGAACGAGAAGAAGAAGAAGAAGAAGAAGAAGAAGAAGAAGAAGAAGAAGGAGAATGAGAAGAAGAAGAAGAAGAAGAAAAAGAAGAAGGAAAAGAAGAAGGAGAAGAAGAAGGAGAAGAAGAAGGAGAAGAAGAAGAAGAAGAAAGAGAAGGGGAAGAAGAAGAAGAAAGAGAAGAAGAAGAAGAAGAAGAAGAAGAAAGAGAAGAAAAAGAAGAAGGAGAAGAAGAAGGATAAGAAGAAGAAGAATCAGAAGAATAAGAATTGAGAAGAAGAGGAATCAGAAGAATAAGAATGAAACAAGAACAGATTAAGATGAAGAGCGACCAAGAAGTCATACCTTGGGCATTCCTGCTTTCCTCATCATCCTCAGTTGCTCATTACTGATTTCACTCTCAGTCTCGGAGTAAGCAACCAAGGAGTGATGTATGAGCGGCGGGAGTCTCTCAGGCTCGGGGTACACTGCGTTGTTCTGTGAGCGTGAGGTGCTAGTCGGTTTCTTTGTCTTAGATTTTGTAGCATGAGTGTCGACATGAGTGAATAGCTGATCATCCTATAAGAAAAAAGACAAGAGACTTTCTGTCCTAAAAATGGGCTTACATGGAAAAAAAATCAATCGGATTTTGGATATTCTTTTAAAATATTATCAGATCATTCTGATCTATTTCCTATAGTATGTCTTCTTTAATTGGTCATTTCTCTGCTGTACTTAATTTTTAGTTATCATTTACATAATATTCTCATTACACAATACTACTTCTGGCACCGAATCTCCTCCTACCCTTGTAAGAGCAGTGGTCGACCAAAACTAAAACCGTCGGGGAACTGAATTTGACTTCGGTGGCCCCCATTTCTAACACCAAAGTATCTTTGATGGACGATAAATCTGGCGCCTCTCCACATCCCTCCCTCGCCGATGGCTCTGCAAAGTTATAGAATTAATCTTTCCTGCCTCTCGTCATTATTCTAGCTATTTTTAAAAACATATTTTTTTTTTACCTCATTCATAGTTTTGTAGGTAAATGACTTCACCTTGACTATTTTAAGAATCGAAAGGAATAATAAGGTCTCAAAAGTCTCTGGAAAGCAAAACAACTAAAAGCTAAAAACGAAACAAAAGAATACAAAAGATATTCTAAATGTGGCACGAGGAGGTGCACTCATATTGGCCTAGGTAGGAGTTTGGTACATACCCCTTGTTTCGCCCCCCCCCTTCCTGATCCGCCACAGTTTGATGTCCCAAGACCTTGATAAACCTATAATATTGACTATATCATTTTCTTGAATTATGTATTTGAAACATATTATACCAATTACATAAATCATTGATAATCAAGTGATTCATATACTCTGTGAACATACTGTACAAAGTATAAGTACATTGGCAACATACAGTGTATGTTATTACATACCTTGTTTCTCTAATGTTTAAGTACATGGTACATCAAAAACATAACTTCTTTTTCTTTTTAGAATAACTATATCATTAATGGAGCCTTACCTCACCGCTGAAATAACCACGTTTGGAATACTCTCTCGCAGTTTCCTGAGCCCTTTTGGTTTTCTTTCTCTTCTTGCGTTTTTGAGCTGGATCTTCGGTAAGTCTGAAAAGATGAATGAAGTTGGTTAAATTCAAACCTAAGACCGTAACCTTTGGGACACACAAGGAAATGGAACAGCTCGCTATGGGATTATACTTTTTTTGTTTTACCATCTACTATAAAATTTGGTTTTGAAGAGAGAAATGCATGTTTACCACCCATTAACGGGCTAACTACTCCAAAGCCATTTATATTCAATTTGTCTGAAAACATGTTAAACATGTTTAGCGCTTTTCGTGCATGTGGGCCATGTTAATCACAACCGGTTCTCTTTTGTCAAAGAATTATTTCTCTATGTTACATGTGTCATGTCTGCCATTGTTTTATTCTGCACTCTCTTTTTAAATCTTATGTATGAGAAAATGTTGTTATTTGGAGTGTGGAACAATAATAATAATAATAATTAAAAAAAAGACCAACAACAAACAAAAAATAGGGGGAAAGAAGGGGAGGAAGTGAGAGGGAGAAAAGACTAGGAAAATAGAGAAAAAAAAGAAAAAAAGAGGAAGCGGGACAGAGCAAGAGCAAAATATATAATTAGGGGGATCAGGGAAATGAGAACAGAAAGGAAAAATGAGAAAATAAGAGAAACGAAAGAGAGAGAGAGACTAGATGGGGGAAAGAGAGATAGAATGAGCATGATAAACGGATACAGAATTGAAATTTTAAACTCATCACTTTTAAATTTATACAATGGTAATATGAATGGAATAATATACCATTGAAAGAGAAATATGAATTAGAGGGGAAAATGTAGAAAAAGAAAAAGACAAGCATTGTATACATGGCGATGTGAACTTTAAAAGTAACAAACCTTGCACGATCTGCCTCGCGAGATGCACTTCCATTAACTTTGCTTCTCTTAGATGTCTTCTCGTTGAATACCGTCTCCATGACAACCGGCTTGGCCTTTGTTTCCTTCTCAAGTCGCATGAATCCCAGCTCCACTGATGTGGAACGATCCACTTTATTCTGAGGGGTGTAATGGATACTAAAAACATGAGTGCAATTTCGAGGTGAATCCATAGGGATTTCCATTCCGAATTGGATAAATCTATTTCATCTGCAGCTTCACTTTATAGGAACGAATCAATTCATTGTAAGGGGTTAAATGGATACTATACACATGAGTGGAATCGGGAGCTGAATCTCAGACATTTTCTATTCTTCATGGAGGAAAAAGAAAATCCATGCTGCCTGCAGCTCTATTAACTGGAACGATCCACTTTCTTCTAAGGTGTGTAATGTATACGACAAACATGAGAGCAATCCCGAGGGTAATCCACCGAGATTTTACATCTTAATTACATATTGAAAAATCAATTCAATCCAACAGCTAGACTTATATCGAACGATTCGATTTATTCCAAGGGTGTGTTTGAACATGAATGCGATCAGAAGGTGAATCTTGAGACATTTTCCATTCTTCGTTGAGACAAAATATATTCTGTCTGGCTTGTCTGCAGCTCCATTATCTGGAACAATCCACTTTCTTCTAAGGGGAGTAATTAATATGCAAAACGTTAGAGCAATGTCGTGGTAAATCCTCCGGGAATTTCCATTCTCAATTAGATATGAAAAAAATATATTCAATGCAGCAGCTCCGCTTAACTAGAACGATCCATTTTATATGCAGGGGTAGTTGATAATGTCTCCCACATGCGTAGTGGCAGTCGAAGATTGGAAAAGTGTATTTTATCTAGAGGGGGTAGTGGTCCTAACTACATATCCCATAATTCATTCCGTGCATTCCGGAGCAGTATTCGACAAAGTGTGTAATTGCCAAGATTTAATTTGCAATTAAGAGACTGTGAGCACTCTCCTCCGCTTATATTTGCTGCAGTTTTGCTTATGAAAATCATCTCACATGTAGTATCTGGGTGAAGGTATAAGCGACCCAATATCTAGTCATGTGACTTGAGGTCACGTGTTCGAGATAGCCTAGATCACTTTTAATGTAGATCACTTTCGATCTATTTTAAATAGAGACGATATGTGGCTATTAGAGAGTGATTATCCACACTATAAAACCAAATCACAACCAAGTTATGACAGTTATTGATTTGATTTTAATTCCATATAAAACGGGAGAACAATTGATTATAAACTTTGTTTAAAGGACACGTTGAAAGTATAAGGATAAAGTGTAACTGAATTCTATTACAGAACAGTGCAATATAATTAATAAAGCTACTATCATAAAGGAATACCTATCGGGGAACACTGCCATATGAGCTAGAAAAATAATTAAGTAAATGTACTGTATGAATATATAATAATTATAATAATGGGTTCGTGTATAGCGCTCATGTCTGTCAGACTTGACACACCTGGCGCTCCCTACATAAAAGAGCACGTCAGTTGTTAATCAAAGCTTAATAAATGTACAGAAAGAGAATACAACTTGAATAATGATAAAAATAAATATCAAAGTGCTAATAACACTAAAGTAGTCATCACTGAGATCACGATTCCTGAATATAATGTAAAATGGAATAAATGAAATAATAAAAATCTGAAAGATTTCATAATATTTACCAGGGTTTTGATCGCTGTCTTCTTGGACCAGCAGTAGTAGTAGATGAAAAGTAGGATGACGATGATGAGGAGGAGAGCGATGAGGGCTATAAGGAGGTACCACCACCAGTCCAGACCGGTGGGTGTGGCTGTCAAGAAGAGGGTCACTCCCGGAGATACGACCTTGGTGAGAAGAATATGTTTGTTTTGATTAGTTTTACAATATTTTTTATTATTCTTTGCGTGTTTTTTTGTTTTTGTGTACAGGGCCTCATTCTCACAAGCTTTGCTTATCTTGGGGTCCTTCCGACTTTGCTGTTCATTTTGTATGTATTGTTTACTCTAAATTTTAATGGAAAATAAATGGATTGAACATCAAATATAAGAATGATTTTTTCCTTTGGGGGAAGACTTAGTAAAACGAAGAGGCTTGCGTGCACATGAATACACTTTCACAACGACCAACGTATTTATTCTTTACCTGCGCAGTCTTTTTTGTCTTTGTTTTTATGTATTTATTATTTTCCCACGAATACTCTGTGAAGAGTCTCTTCCTTCTCCTCATCTCATAACTAGCATAGGCTAAACTCTCTTTACAGAGAACACTCTGCCGCGTGACTATGTGCAAAGAATGCAATTTCGACGTTCATTGACCGAATTCACAGGGGTTCGATAATAATACACAATGTTAAGAAGAATTACCAACTCCTCGTCAAAGACATCTTTTGAAACATCTATATTCGGATGCAGCAATGGTGCACTGTATATATGGATGGTGATGAAAGCGAATACGTTTTGGAAATTGACCGCAGTATGTTTTCACGTTGCCGTGCGCCTGTGTTTTAATTGAATTGATACCATCTTGCATGAAGTGTTAACATAACAAAAATTACTTTTAGATACGATAATATGCGCGACCGTTATACAAAAATATAAACTACAGAGGTAACTTTTTTGAAAATTAATGATGATTACCACATATCCTATGACATCCTGTAGCTCCTGCAGGCTGAACTGCTGATACGGAATCAAAGCTGTAGCTCCAGGAACCACACTGCCTTCATCAACGACATAGAAGACTACATCAACATTCTCCGCATCCGCCTGAGGACGGTCAACTGCTTCCAGCTACCATACCAAAAGATTCGAAAGGACACACACAATAAAATATTAATTGCGTCGGGAATAATGTTATTCTTATTTATTTATTTCTTGACTGATGTAATGAAAAGAGTCGCATTGGTTAGAATTGGAAATGTTTAATCATGTTAACAGGACATCGATGAAAAACAGCTTTACTGATTCGATTGTTTCTTTTTTATCCTGTATAAAGATGTCAAATAAATAAATAAATAAATTTCATAATGTATTGAAAAGTAATTGTACCGGAAAATAAATAATGATGTTAAACTTTTTGAGCAGAATTACATTAATTCCGAACTTTAAGGGCGTTATCGTCGATCCTTATCATAAGATTTTAAGACAAGAAATTTAGAATTGGCCAATCATTTGCTTGCCGTAATCAAGAGGGAAAACATGAACATCTAAGAGGGAGCTGAATATTACTCTACGGCATATCCAGGATTTTGTAATAGGGAGGATGATGCACCTCCTGATCTCCCTTCAAGATTTGCCATCGCTTCTATTATAACTTCCACTTCTAGATAACTTACAGCCACTTCAGTCGCGGAGCTTGGATCTGCAGCTCTCCTCCGCCGAATCAAATCATCCTCCAGAATGACATCATCACCCGGATACCCCATCCCTACACCCCGCCTGTTCCTCGCCAAGTTGCTCTCTAACTCAGAACTCCCATTAACGTAGAGGAACTCGAGATCGTTCCGCAGTTGCTTCTGGAATGTTGCATTGGTTTCGTCAAAGGCAGTATCGACTATCAGGGTCACTTTGAGCCAGTCGGTCTGGTCTGCGGGGGGTATGGTGTAGGGATAGTCTGGGGTTGTGGTCGGGGTAGGTATCACTGGGTGTGGTATGCTTCTCACCTAGAAAAAAGAGTGTACAAAAAATCCGGTTGACTTCCGGTGTGATGGCTCAGTCAGTAGAGCGTCCGCCTCACAACCGGGAGGTCGTGGGTTCGAACCCCAGCCGCGTCACACCAAAATACGTTAAAAGACGGGAGTTGCTGCTATCTTGTTTGGCGTTCAACAATAAGGGATAGGGCAACGTCGATCTGGCGCTGCTCAGTGGCTGTCGGGCTCACGATCAATTGGACAACAAGAATTTCCATTTTCGGTTTAACTTCATAAAATTTGAAGTGGACTTTAAAAGATTATTATCATTATTATTATACATGGGTTTGATTCCAGGGTCCTGTCTTCCAAAGAGTTGATATCAATCGCAACTTATTTGCGATTGATATCAATCGCAAATAAGTACATAAGAGATAGGAGACTGCAAACTTGCGATTGATTGGAGGACTTGCGATTTATTTGGATCAATCGCAACTCTTTGTAAGACAGGCCATGTACTCAAAGCAATCAATTTCCATAATTGGTAGACCTACTGTTATAGAAGAGGGTATATTTTGCACAATGCTGTTTATAATGAATATATCGATATTTGGGATGATATTGCTTAATCTTGGTTCTGAAAATAATTGTACAGCTTTATGTTTTCTTTACATCGGATTTGTACACAGCAATGGAACATCTTTAGTCATCACAACTATACTGTGTAAAGGGAGAACAAACAAGGGAACAGAATTAATGAGGGAATTGTCCGTGACTACCTCACATTCCACATTTCTTGAACTTATAGTTCGAACATTCATAACTCCCTTAATATTCGTCCAGTTTATTTTTTAACTTTTGCCATTATGTTTCTCTTATTTTTCTGCTTTTAAACAAATGAAGTTATAAAAAAAGTCGGATCGCCCTTTAAGATATTGAAAATTAGTAATCAGTTAATTTTTCTCTTATAGTCTCTCCACTCACAGCGTAACCTAGCTGAGCACTCATCTCTCCTTCAGTCAGGGTGCTGTAGGTGGCTGCAGCATCGGTCGCCATGACCAAGGTTTCATTCTCCAAGACGTAAAAGGTCAAGGTAACTGTCTCCGGGTCCAAATCATCAGGCCGGGACAGCGCCATTATCTGTCAAAGAAATTCCGGGAGAAAGAAACTTACAAATTAACAAATTGATTTTTAGGAACATTATCGACAAAATGTCATCAATGTTTTGTAATCAAAATGATATCTGATTTTTTTTTTTTAATAACAAAATTCATGTCAACTATACATGTTCAATTAGAAGTTTTCATGGAAAAGAACGATTTTCACAAGGTTACGAAATGAAGGATTCTATCCTTATTTTTAATTAAAAATTCAATCCATCAACATAAATAAACATGGTGTCTGCAGAAGCTTCACTTTTACTGCTTAAGATGTGTTCGGCCTATATCATTTCGAGGTCTATATCAAAACCTTTTACATAAAACAACAAAATATGGGTAATTTTCCTGAATGCTTAAAATGGATTTACATTCATAGGCTATGCAGTAAATTGAAAAATTTCCTATGAAACCACAAATGACAACTCACCGGTACTTCAATATCATCAGACGGGTCAGCTTGCCTTTTTCTTCGAACTTTATTTTCCGTTCTGACTTGTATCCTGGGACTTGATTTGCCTATCTGTTTCGAGACGAACATCCATTCTATTTCAGCGGAAGACTCTTTTGCCAATCCTTCAAATCGAGAATCCTCCTTCAGTGCATACTGCTCTTGGAGTTCGAGGCGTTGTCCGATCCTAGGATGTCCTTCAGTTTGTTGCTTTCTGGTGAATAGCCATTCCCGATCCGAAGAGTCTCCAGACGGCGTGTCTGCTTCACTGTTACTCCGTCTCCGCCGTTCAAGGATATTACTTTCCCCTTCTATGTACAGGACTTCAAGGCTGTTGGAGAGTGCCTCAGAGAAGTCGTCAGCCGTAATGTCTTCAGATGTAGGAACCTTGATATCCATCGTCAGTTGGAACTCTAGAGGTACATCAACAGGTGATTCAGTAGCTGTGGTCATAGGAGGATTTGTAGGTGGGAAACTTGGTGTGACCATCTGAGAACTTGTCGACATGATCATCGAAGTGGTTACTTGAGGTGCCACGCTGGATGAGACAAACGCTTCACTTAAGGAAATGGATCCGATGAGCGTAGGCATCATTTCTGAGAACAATGTAGATGGAGATTCTTCAGACTGGAAAAGACTGGTTGCGGTAAATGGCGGCAAAAAAGTCAATGGTGGTGTCCCCGACAGTGTTGGTAATAATCCGCTTGATTCGATCCTCAAAGAATCACTTGGACTCGGGATAAGGAGGGTTGATGTAGAAGCGTCAAAGGACACTACCCGAGAACCTAAGCTGACTGTATCTGTTACCACGTGGCTTATTACAACTGATGACTCTATCGCTGCGTAAGAACTTGGTGGAACTGTCGGAATATATGTTTCTGATGCAGAAGCGGTTGGGCCAATCATGGTTGATATTATATAATCGGTTGTCTGCACAGGGGTTACTGTTATAAAGGGCGGTATAAACATAGAGCTGTAGCTCCCTGTCAATGCGGAAGTAGCATTAGTATCAATGCTCGATGTGATTGGGCTACCTGGAGACATTGTTCTGGTTTCGTATACTTCACTTGTTGGTGTGATAGTGGACAACGTTTCTAGGAAGAGAGAACTATCAATCGATGTTTCAACAGCTGTCCTCATTGACGTGGCACCTACAGCAGTTGACGGACTTGGCAGTATGTCAATAGATGATGTCACAATAGCCATTGTACTAAACGGTGGTACAATGAAGTCGGTTGTTGCGGACGAAACAGTTTCATAGACCTCTGTTGTAGACACTTCGGGCATTCGACTTGATGGAGTCTGGACGATTGATGAGACCGACGAGGCACTCGACGAATACTCAAGTATAGTTGTTGGAAGTGTGACCAAGGATTCAGTTATAACCGTGTCCTGCACGGTTGTATGTATAAATGTGTCCAGGCTTGTTATTTGAAGAGACTCTGTTGATGTGAGGAGTCTTTCTGAAGCGCTGGACTCTACGACTTGGGTTGATATTGTTTCAAATATTCCAGTAAGAGATGATGGTTCAATTGTATCACTGCCCGACACGACTGGAGTGAGGTAGTCCCCTGTACTTGATATTAGCACCGGGAATGTGTCACTGATGTCTACAGAAACTATTTGAGATATTAGTAAAGTTTCTGTCAGATAATCAGATGGCATGTAGCGTGACGACAGATGACTGACAGAATAAGATATTTCAGAGTGTTCTGGCATCAAAGTAGAAAAATCCTCAGAGCTTCTACTGGGAAACGAGCTTTCCAAGTCTACTGTGGTATAAATGAGAATGGATGATGTATCAAGGTATGGAGTAAATGAAGGCAGTATTGGTGTAAAGAATGGCAAACTCGGCAAAATGCTTGATGCGAATGAGGGAGTTGATGGAGAAGGGTAATATTCTGAAGAAGAGGGCGAAATCCAGGATACATCAGTGATGATATCACTTACTAGAATGGTGCTTAGATCTATAACGGTGCTGTATAGGAGCGACGGTCTAACGGATTCCAAAGGGGTTCCACTCTCACTACTGAACATCACCATCGATTCAGAAATGGAGGATGCATCGGTGATAGTATCAGTAACTAGAATGGTGCTTAAATCCATAACGGTGCTGTATAGGAACGATGGTGCAAGTGTTACCAAAGAAGTGGTTCCAATCTCGCTACTGAACATAACCGTCGAATCAATAATGGAGGTCGCATTAGTGATAGTATCAGTAACTAGAATGGTGCTTAAATCCATAACGGTACTGTGTATGAACGATGGCGTAAGCGATTCCAAAGAAGTGGTTCCAATCTCGCTACTGAACATCGCCGTCGAATCAGTAATGGAGGATGCATCAGTGATTGGATCACTAACTAGAATAGTGCTTACATCTATAACGGTGCTGTATAGGGGCGATGGTATGAGTGGTTCCAAAGAAGCAGTACCAATCTCACTACTGAACATCACCGTCGAATCAGTAATGGAGGATGCATCAGTGATAGTATCAGAAACTAGAATGGTGCTTAAATCCATAACGGTGCTGTATAGGAACGATGGAGCAAGCGATACCAAAGAAGTGGTTCCGGTCTCACTGGTGAACATCGCCGTCGAATCAGTGACGACCTGTCTATCTGACGTTACAGGATAGACACTGGGCATGCTGGGAGTAATAGGCATTACTGAAGACGTCTCTACCAATGTGAACAAAACTGATGACATCTCATAGCTTACGACGATGGTGTCTATTGGAAGAACTGTCGTTTCCATGACAACGGAGGACAAAAGTGGCATCTCTTCACTCATCGACAATACCAGCGTTGACTCTGTTTGAAGACCCGGTTGGCTTAATGTCGGAAATAGTGTACTGACTTGATATTCATCGGTACCAGTACCAAGCGTGCGACTGTCATATACATCTGTAGTTATATACTCAAACACTTCTGTGGAGATGATCTCATAGACATCAGTCCATGATATGTCAGTGATTGTTGACATCACTTGAGTGGCATCTGGAACTACTGTGGATCTAGAGAACTCTGAAAGTGGAAAAGACTTTGTTGTCTCCATTGTTGGTGCCAAGCTGGTGAAAATATCTGACATTTGCGTTTCGTAAACACTAGAAAAAATAGTCTCTGGCAGAAGAGATTGATCTAATAGTGTACTCAGGGCGGTGAATTCTGGAGTCATAGTGGTATAGGTGAATACAGGCCTTAAGGTCGTGGGCAAGATGTCAGAACTAGGGTATAAGATATCCGATGTTTCAACGAAATAGAATGTATAAATGAGAGTTTCAAGGGACTCTGTTTGACTGGAAAGAGCACTTTGAGTATTACTATTACGTGAATCAGCCGGTGACGGAGCAATGGTTGTTTCTGGCTGTGAAATTGTGCTTAAGATAGGGTAATCTGTAAAGAAAAGATCACTTGAGCGTTGACTAATTACGGATGTGACGTCAGAGCTGGGCGCTATTTCGGAGATGGCAGGAGTGGGATACAAAATGACTTCAGTCGTTAATATCACTGTCTCAAAGACGAACGACTCTTCTATTGAACGATCTAAAGACAGGGTGCTTGTTGGGACTATCAGCGATGAGCCACTTTCAGTGATAGAACAGAGAGGTGGAGGCAAGGATGGCGGAGGACTTGTACATGTGCAGGTTGGAGGACTACAACACATGCAGGATGAAGGAAATGGTGTGGACATCTCTGGTTGAACTGCTGTGGAGTAAATAACTTCCGTGCCCGAGGTTATGGTCTCATACACCAACGATTGCAAAGATAGGTCATCAGAGGATTGTATTGACTGATGGGTAGAAGGAAAACTGAAGGAAAATGAATCGATCGTTTTAGAACTTCTCATCAAGTCATCTGAAACGGCTATATCACTTGTGATTAAGTCTACAACAGTACTATACAGCATGGAGTTAGCTGTAGTTGGTACTACCATACTGTCCTCACTGTAACCAAACGTTGATTTGAAGTTTAAGTCTGGTTGCGATGTCACTGGTGAAGGGAGAACTGTTGGGAGGGGCAAAGTACTTTCCACGGTTACTGTTTCGTAGAAAGACAAGGTGTCAAATACACTTTGGCTTATTCCATCCACGAACGAGGTGGAGATGATAAAATCGGGAGATCTTCTGGAAAAAGTAAAGGTGTCTGATGCCATTATTTTGTCACTCGATATCACTAACGTCTCAAAGACTTCAGAAGTGAGCCATGAAACCTCTGTGTCCCATTCCCGTCTGCTTGAAGGTATCACTGTAGAAATACTTCTTGGCACGCTGTTCTCTGATGTTAACGATGATGTCGGTGTGTGTCCCTCAAATAGGGTTGACATCTCAGAGCCAACTAATCGCGTTGAGTGAGTCTGTTCAGGTGTTATTCCGGAATTTATAGTAGAAAATATTTCAGAAGAGATTTCTTCAGTCCCGAAGATGACAGAAGGGTTGGTGCTGGACTGTATCGATGGAGATCCTCTAGAAAAAGCAAAGGTATCCGATGCTATTGGTGTCTCACTGGATATCACTAATGTCTCCATGACTTCAGAAGTGAGCCATGAAATATCCGTGTCCCATTCCCGTCTGCTTGAAGATATCACTGTAGATATACTTCTTGGCACGCTGTTCTCTGATGTTAACGATGGTGTTGGTGTGAGTTCCTCAAAGAGGGTTGAAATCTCAGAGCCAACTAATCGTGTTGAGTGAGTCTGCGCAGGTGTTATTTCAAAATGTATGGTAGAAAATATTTCAGAAGTGATATCTTCAGTCCCGAAGAGGGCAGAAGGGATAGTGCTGGACTGTATCGATGGAGATCCTCTGGAAAAAGCAAAGGTATCTGATGCCATTAGTGTCTCACTGGATATCACTAACGTCTCCAAAACTTCAGAAGTGAGCCATGAAACTTCCGTGTCCCATTCCCGTCTGCTTGAAGATATCACTGGAGAATAACTGTTCTCAGATGTTAACGTTGGTGTTGGTGTGAGTTCCTCAAATAGGGTTGACATCTCAGAGCCAACGAATCGCGTTGAGAGAGTCTGTTCAGGTGTTATTCCAGAATTTATAGTAGAAAATATTTCAGAAGTGATTTCTTCAGTGAAAATAACAGAAGGGACGGTGCTGGACTGTATCGATGGAACCACAATCGTAGATGTAGGAATAGAACTCACCATTGGCCGACTTGAAGGAAAACCAAACGAAGGAGAGATCCAAGAAGTATAGACCATATCACTTGTAATTGCTGCTGTAACTGTTTCTATTACATTAGTAGATATGTATCCAACAGAATTTGAATTGTCCGTCGATAAAATCAATTTTGTTGCTACATCGGAGGCTAAAAGATCACTTGTTTCAGTGAGATACATTATTGATGACAGCAGTACGGTGCTCGAAGGTGTAATTTCGCTCTCAGGGGCAACGCTCGATTGGAAAGATACACCTTGTACTGTAGACACTGACTGTGGAAGTGCAGGTGTTCTTGATATACCTCCGCTTTCAGATGTTGGTCCTTCTGAAGGGGTTGTCAGCAAAGTCACAACGATGTCACTTGTGACTATCAATGTCTCATCGAGTAGAGGTGGGGTCGCAGAATAGCCTTCGGAAAATGTCTCTGTAACAGGCATGTAGGCAGACGTAGGTTGCAAACTATCTGGAAGACTTAGAAATAGAGTAGATGGCACCACTGTCTTTGTTCTACTAGGCAAGATTGTTCTAGCACTTTCTGGAAGATCTGTCTGGGGGCTGTCTTGTGAAATATCAAGGAGAGTACTAACTAGTGTCTCCTCCACAACACTCCATTCTGTTACGAAATCTGTTCTTTGGCTAAGTAATGAAGAGCTTGGTTTCAAGTTGCTCTCAAAAGAGGAATGACTCCTCGTCAATATACTACCAACAAATGCTGTTGATGAAACAATTTCAGATGCTACTGTCACGTCCACACTCTTGCTGTCCTCAGGGTTTTGATACACAGTTGTGGTGTATTGTTCCATGCCAGCTGCTGTACTGGTGGCCCAAATATCACTTGGTGTGAACATACCAGTAAATCCTTCTGCAGTGCTGAATATCGGTAAACTCTGCTGGAGTTGGGATGAAGTTTCCACACGAACACTACCTTCGGGTTCTTCAGCAACAGTTGAAATGTAAGACTCTGTGAAGACTGCTGTAGTTGTTGCTAAGATTTCAGATAGCACAGAGACGTCTACTGGTTGGCTAGTGAACCTTGGAACCTGGTCTAGTGGTGTGGATGGTGATAGGGAGCCCTCTAGAGGTGAAGATGCTGAAGATGTCACAATTTTAGTTGGTGTCTGTAACCAAGCACAAAACACAACATAATTATTCCCATTTCTTCTGATATCACACAATGTATTGTGCAAATCATAAATCCGCATGCTTCATTTCAAAACGAAGTCAACGGAATGAATGAGGATTACAAATAATTCATGCATTATAACTCTTCATTTTATCTGCTTTCCCATGTCAGCTGTAGGTTAAATATAAGGTTAAGGTAATGGTTTATTATAAACTTCATTTGCTGCAGCATGGCTGATATTGCATAGATATCTGAACTGGCTATTGTTCGGAAGTGTACGTTATATACCCCACAAATAAACATTACCATGATCAATCATTATCACATTGTCAAATTTGACATAATAAAAATTGATTAACTTTTCTGATTAAATACGACATGCACATAAGGGAGATGTGAGTTGGTCTAGCTGCACCTTCACTTGGTCAGCTCTCTGTCCTTGTCTACAAACTTGCTCAGGCGACCCCGGTTCAATTATACGTTTTTTCGGATGGTGATGTTTAAGGTTGGTCCCCAGACGTAAATGATCATATCTGATTGATACATGTCTGTAAAAACCCGACTACACACACATTATATTCGTCAACGCCACATGGAGTAAAAGCATAGACTTTGAGTCGAGTAATTACGTAGAACCTCTAAACCATTGACTTGTAATAGTAATTGTAGACGCACGCTTCCTCCTTCGGATATGCTCAAGGCGGGGCAGCGGCTTGCGTGGTACCCTTTAAATACTTGCCGTGTAAAATATTGCCCCTTCAATTGTGCAAAATTTTTGAATTGTACCACCCCTTCTTTAAGAGAAAAGTCATTGATAAGGTCCTGCATAATACAATAAATATTCAGGAATTGGTCATCCAATTATATACAAACACATACTGTTTTTGTGCTCCATTCCTCTGTCATTGCTACTGTTACGTCAGAGGTGACGACGATCGTCGTCTCGAAGCTCACGTCACCTAAGAACAGAATGAACAGAATTATATGTAATGTGGTGAAAATGTAAGTATATTGTAATTTACATGGTCATTATTTAAACAAAAGCTTGTAAACAATGAATATATATATTATAAATGTAAAGAGCCTTTTAAAATGCGGTAACTAATTGTCCTTTTTGCTGTCTGTCTCTATGTCTCTCTGTCTTTCTTTCTTTCTCTCTGTCTCTCTCTCTGCCTCTCTCTGTCACTCTCCCTCTGTGTCTCTCTCTGTGTCTCTCTCACTGTCTCACCCCCTCTCTCTCTCTTTATATCTCTTTCTTTCTCACTCTCTCGCTCTACTTCGCTCTACTTTTTTTTCTGCTTGATCCCTACCCCTTTCTCAATACTTCCCCCTTTTTTCTGCACGCCCTATCGTCCCTCTCCATACAGTTATATGGCTTCTTGTTCTCTCGTTCTCTTTCTCTCTCTCTCTCTCTCTCTCTCTCTCTCCCTATCTATCTATCTATCCATCTTGTTCACCTCTTCACTTCAGTCTCTCTTCATGCAAGGATTGACATATGTCTCTCTAAAAAGCCGATTGATTGGACACAGCGGGTAATAATATTTCACATCATGCTTGAGTAGTAACACATTTCACGATATCACAATATTTTACGAGTCTTGGTCAAATATTCTTTTAAGCACTTCGGTAAATGTTGACCGATTACCAATTAACTGCAATTGATCGCAACTTTATAGCTAGCCAAAACGTATCACGCACTGACATAAAACAAATAGCTCAACTATATCATTTATGGCTACTATATTCAAGAAGGTTTAACAGTGAACCTGTGCTATATACAACATAAAAAGCTAAAGCCTTATGGTTTATTATACCTACTTTGAAACAAAATGCCACACAGAATCAAAATGATAAATGAATGATAATATTCATCTTTTCAAAGCATTTCTTATGAAATTGTTTACAACTTTTTAAAATAATCTACTAACAGTGCTTTTCAATTCCTTGCAACAAATTCTTCATTTTCTTTTCAACTCAGTCTGTAAACTCTTTTAGAGACTTTAATCCTTTACTATTGTATCTTTATATCATGTAAGGATTGAAAAATATTGATTTAGGGTCTTAAAATTCTTTTGTTCTTTAATTCTTTTCACTTCTTTTCAATAGTTTTCAATTAGAATTGAGAAAATCCTTTAAATCAATGCAATCTAACATCTGGCGTGAACTAAATAAAGCACAACATAAAAAATACCCCAAAATACGCAATCCTCTGGATTTGTGGTATAATTGCTCGTGATTCTATCGCACAATCAATGGCATTTAATAACAGGTTTGCAATAAAGTAGTTAACGAAATGGGAGGTAATTTCGTGTAATATAAAACGCACTACTTAAACGTTGTCAAGCACGCACGATCAGAAACAACTCTTTGGAAACAATCAATGGTGCACTATGACAAATAGCCAATGAGTTATATTTTACCACAGCGATGTAGACAAATCTAAACTCAAACTTGTGAATAACATGAAGGCCTAATAATAAAAGGGAATACTATATGATAGATGATGCATCGTCTTGTAAACATTCGAGGGGGGAAGGATACATTTCTTCAATTACCATAATTTACATATAAGGAAACATATTCCTTGAAAGTTTTATCTCTGAATCTCTCTCTCTCTCTCTCTCTCTTTCTCTTTCTTGACATGTATGTTTTATAAGTATTGTATTTATTTAATCATGGTTAAAAAAATAAGACTGCTTTCCAGTAAGTCCGTGCACATAATTAAAAATTAAACACATTAAAATGAACACAATATCATTGACAAACAAATACAGATCAAATTCAAATATCTGCAAACAGATATCGAAAACGATTGAACACAACAAAATTTATCTCATCAATTCTGTCTACTCCCCCCCCCCCCCAACATTTCCTTTCCCCTCTATTCTGTTTCTATATGTCCCCCTCTCTCCCTCTCTCCTTCTCTCTCTCTTTCTCTCTTTCTCTCACGGACACACACCACACACCCATACGTCTCTCTCTCTCTCTACATTATGTTTCTATATGTCTCCCTATAATATCCCTCGCTCACGTGTTTACAGAGTTATCCACTGAGTGTCATACGTATGACTAGAGACACAGTGGTTGCCATGGTAATATTTCACGTAACATTATATATCCTACATCATTGCTCTTTTTCTTTAATCCTTGGGAGCCTTATATATTTGTGATTGACATGCAAATTAAGATAATGTTCTGAATTATGTTCTGATGGCGTGTTTATGAATGTTTTTGAATAATAGTTGGAGTAATCGTACGGTGGTACATTATCATCACCTCAATAGATTTCAAAGCTCTCTCCATCTCTCTTTCTGCCTCTCTCCATCTCTCTTTCTGCCTCTCTCCATCTCTCTCTCTCTCTGTCTCTCTGTCTCTCTACCTCTCTCCATCTATCTCTCTACCTCTCTCTCTCTTTTCATACGTTCATTCATACTTAAAATGGGATGTGCACGGTTTATATTTAAAGTAAATAGATGATAGAGAGAGAGAGAGAGAGAGAGAGAGGGGGGGATATATATAATATATATATCCATGTATTCATATTATATATATATATATATACATAACTATGTGTATATTTAAAGTTGAATGTGCACGGTTTACAGCTTGCATCAGGTCTATCGCATCCCCCTCCTCCTTTTCGCCTCTCTCCTTGTTTCTTCTTCTTTCTTAGATTACTTCGTTTGTCGAGTGAGTTTCTATTACCCTATCTGATCAGTTATTATTCACCTTTAGCCGTCTTTAGGCCTGTCTCAATTATTTGTATTTCCTCTCACTTTCAATGCGCTATAGATCTCATTTCTATTTTGATATTCATGAAATTATTAAAATCCAATATGTGGGTACTTTCTCAATTTTCTATTTAAAAAGGATAACAAAAATACAAATTATAGTGTTAAATATGCAGTTCCTAAAACAATGAAAGGTAAAATGCCACATTTTTTTTCTTCTGGAATATGATACCAACATAATATCTTTCATGTATCTTTTATGTTTCATGCTCTCGTCCCCCATTTCTTTTTCTCTTTTTCTTCATCTCATTTCTCTTAGAATATTGTTTATATACATTTATCTTAAGTTTATTTATATATTTTGTTAATCCTACTCTCTACCTCTTTCTCCACCGACCTCGCCCCCTCTCTCTCTCCCTCCCTCTACTCCCATTGTCTATCTCTCGCGGTCCCCCCTCTCTCTCTCTCCTTTCCCCTCTCTCTTTCTGTCTTTCTGTCTCTCTTTCTTTCTGTCTGTCTATCTTTCTGTCTGTTTGTCTCTGTCTCTCTTTCTCTCCTCTCTCCCTTTCTCCTCCCCTGCCCCTCTCTCACTATCCCTATCCTCTCTCTCTCTCCCTCTTTCTCTTCCTTTACCCCCCTCTCTCTCTCTCTCTCTCTCTCCTTCTCTCTCCCACTCCAGAGAGTTATTCCTGACATTTCACTCTCAAGGATCGTGTTACGCTCCTTATAGCCGCCTCTCTAATTTATTTCAGACTCATTCGTATTGGCCCAATTAGGGCTTCAACATGCTGGTGTATCAGCCTACACTGGCTACTGTGTAGTGTCTTTACACGAGCAATTACTTAAATACTTACTTGAGACTTTTGCCATACTGAGCACATTCAAATCAAGCTCGATTTCACCAGTGTCAAATTGCAGTTTCCAGAAACGTGAACAGCAATCTTGTATCAGAGATACATGTTAAAACTCATATCTCTCTGATAATATCTTATCTTTTTAGAAATGCAATGAAGAACGTTGACACACCAAAAATGTCCGCGGACAAGGGTTATAATAATTTGATTTTTTGATTTTTATTATAACTTTGTTTTCGGGATCACGCTAGGAGCGTATCTGCGAAGTTGAACTTCGGCTATAAACTTAGGATATAATACCACATGTATAGGAAGCTAGTAATGATAACCATTATATATACAGTTACCACACCCCGCATCGACCTCTTCCTTGAATTGTCATCACCATCATCATTAATTATCATTATAATCATCATTCTCCTCATCCTCACTTCATCATCATCATTACCATTATCTTCGTCATCATCATCATCAATCTCATCCTCATTTTCATTCTACGCCTCACCATCATCACCATCACCATCATCACCACCCAGGCGCGTACACAGGGGGGGGGGGGGGTTAACCCCCCCCTTTGGTAATTTTGTGTGTGTAAACCCCCCTAAATTTCTCTAACCCCCCCCCCCTTTTGGATTTTTTTTTTTAAATTAAAAAAAAAAAAAAAAATATTCCCATGGTTGACCTAAAAAAGCTGACCTTACCCCCCCCCCCCCAACGGAGCAAAATGTCAAATTTTCAAATTTCGAGACCAAAAAAAAAAAAGTGCCCTCTTCCCCCCCCCCCCCCCCCCCCCCCCCTGTCATCATCACCATCATCATCATCATCAAACTCATTCTCATAATCACCATTACTGTCATCATCACCATCATCATCAAACTCATCCTCGTAATCCCCATCACCATCACCGTCATCGGTATCATCATCACCATCACCACCGCCATCATCATCACCGCAATTATCACTACCATCACCATCATCATCACGTACACCACCAGGTATCATCATCAATCATCATCATCACCATCATCACCATCATCATCATCACCATCATCATCATCACCACCACCATCATCATCATCATCATCACCACTATTATCAACACCCTCATGACCATCGCCACCGTCAATACAACCATTCATCACCGATCATCATCTTCATCATTGTTTATCATGAAATCAACCATCTATGATCAGCATCCCTCCCTTCTTACCTCCTGTCAAGTTGCAGAAGCCGCACAAAATCAGCAACACGGTGAACCAGATTCGCACACCACCGGACCGTTGAGCTCCTTCCCAGCCACCACTCCGCCGTAGATGCACCATGGTTACCCGCTCAAAGCACAGACTCTGACAGACGAACCGCGCTGCAGATCAGCAGCAGGTGGCGATCATATCACAGGCGCAGCTCCTCGATCTCTTCCGATCTCCTTTCTAAGCTGTTTGATATCTCCCTTTAAATTCTCCATCAA